ATGAAGTCGGTTCTTGAGTCAATTTTCTCAATCCTTATTGGCTCGAAGCTCTTGATTCTTGTTTTATTTCTATAAGAGATTAATTTACTTGCTTTTACCTTTTCAACTAAGAATTTATTATTTAGTGCTAAGGACCTGAAAGATGAGAGTTGAACGTCTAACTAGAGTATTAGAGCTTTTTTCTTTAGTATCCTGACAAGACCAGGAACCCCCCCCCCCCCCGGGGGGGGTCCTTACTCTCAGCCTCAGGAAGCATTTCTGCTTGTATATGTAAATGGGATAAGAATATCATATTTCAGTTATGTAAAGTTTACCTCCATTATTGCAGCTGCTGTTCCCAGTCTAGCCATGGTACATGGTGTTGATAATCAGAAGGTAAAGACTTAACCTGCTTTTTTAATGCTTGATGAACTTGAGGAGTATTCTCTCCGCTTAATCTCGAAAATATTACATGCTGCTTCTATTTCCACTAAGTTAGCAGCAATATGATTTTTAATTTACTTTCAGAGTTCAGCAGGATAACTAGAATTGATATCAATATAACTTAGCTCCATATAGTTATCATCAAAAGAATGAGGAGTGTGCTATTTCATTTTTTTTTTCTCCTGAGTTCGTTCTGGTCATTGTCAAGCACAAGTTGAAGCTTTAATAAGTTTGTTTTGTCAGATTATAGTCTCTTTCAATGCTTATTATTGTTCGAATCAAACAAAGTTGATCAATCATACAACACCTTTTTCTAATCTACAGCTTGCAAATCATCTTGATCGTATGGTTTCAAGCATTGGCAGGCAGCCTTTGAAAGTTTTGGTTCAAGTAAATACCAGCGGAGAAGAGTGTGAGTATATTTCCTTCTCATTTTTGGAGCAGTTTAGGTTATGAAAGGTTTTAACGCATTGCTTCAAGTCCTCAGATTACTGGTTACACTTGCAGAATGCAAAATGAAATCTCACCAATTTTGAAACTCTGAATTGTTAGCTTTTTTCTTTTTGTTCTCACTGCTAGTAATGCATGTTTGATCGAACTGTACAATGCTTGTTTTTATGGCGTTCAAGGGAAAAAGGAAGGCTCCATTCTTCCTACTTCCAAAGGAACTAACGAATTAGTTAATTCGACTATCTGCAGCAAAATCTGGTATTGATCCATCAAACTGCGTAGAGCTGGCCAAACATGTCAAGCTGGATTGCCCAAACCTTGAGTTCTCTGGCCTAATGACAATTGGAAGGCCTGACTACACTTCAACCCCAGAAAACTTCAAGGTGATACTCTGTAATTAATCCGAAATTTAGTTGTAAATGACTTGTAAAAATTCCAAGCTCTCTAAGCCATTTGAAGATGTCCCACCCTGTACTGAAAGATGCAAAGGAAGAACATTTGTAAACTACTGAAAGCAGGTCTTTTTCGTCAATGATAATAGTCACCATAAAATTTTCTTCATAGTTATCGGAAGTTCTTTTTCCTTTTTTTTTTGACCTTTACGTATAATAGAGGGATGCTTTTCTTGTGCTAAGTAATATCTTAATATGAAATTCTTAAGAAGTTTGTTATCGTAATATCTTAATGCATATTAGAAGCTTCATGACAAAAATCTTATATTAAGACCTTCATCTAATTTGCCAATTTCTTCATATTGCTGATCATCATTTCTCTTGTTTTAATGCAATAGACACTACTGAACTGTAGAACTGAAGTTTGCAAGGTGCTTGGGATGGGGGAGTCTCAATGTGAGTTATCAATGGGCATGTCTAGTGACTTTGAGCTAGCGGTAAGCTGCTATTCTCTTACCTTGTTCATAAATCTCTGATCTCTTTCATCCAAAAAAGTAATAATTCTGAGTGAAAGAATCACTTCTTCTGATTAATTTCCTTTGCTAGTTTCATTTTGCTGCTGCTTTTATCATGTGAAAGCGGATAGTCCATCAATCTTCTTGATTGCCTTTTGAGTTTAAATTAAGGCCTCTAGCGTGCTAATGCAAAAATATATTTTGCTCCACTTAAATTCAACAGAAATGACGAAAGACGTTTTGTGAATAAGTTGCAAATGTTCGAGATGACCATGTAATTCATTTTTCTCTTTTCTGCCAATGAATTTCTGAATATATTTTGTTGTCTATTTGTATAGTCCGTGTTGTTCCCAAAGTAAGCATGAATTATGAAAAAAAATGAGCTGGTTCTACTTTGCTCATACAAAAATATATAAGCTGCATTAAGAAACTGGTTGTTAAGACTTAAAGAACGTAGACATGTGTAATGTGTTGATCGTCTATGGTAATGCTGCAGATAGAAATGGGCAGCACCAATGTGAGAATTGGATCCACCATCTTTGGACCAAGGGAGTATCCGAAGAGACAATGATATCAGTATGAACTTCATCGCATAGAGCCATTTGCGTGACATGCTTCTGATACTGAAAGCAATAGGGACTTATAGTGCCGCCTTTCTGAATTTTCGTGCAATGAGGGAGAAGAATGAAGCAGCAATCACAAGAGAAGGATGTTGTTGCTTCAAACTCGAAGCCCGCCCTACCAGAAAGTTATGTCAAAATTGTTTTACGGTGAATTGCTCTATACTACGTTCCATTTTTCTTTTCTCTATTAACATACTTCTACAACAGGATTAAGTGCCCCTTACTCTTAAATTGCTTTGATCCACTTAGTCTTTTGTTTTGAAGCTTTGTATGTGTTATATAATACATAAAACTACCACCCTTGATACTGAGTTGGCCCCATGATTTTTACACGACGGGTTACAGTATTCTGCTCGACCAATGTCTCCGCTTCTAGTGTTTAGGGTGCCAAGTGCTTTAAATGAACCATTTTCAAGGTATATACATATATAAGATCTCTATCGAAGCTTGCGGGGTCGATAATATATAGGTCCGCCTTTGCTTGACTGAGGGAATTAAAAGGGAGAAATATTAAGGGTTTGCTGTTCTTATTTCATTATTTGTCCTTTTATTTTGTACTTCAGTTGCCACGCGCGCGAATACACGCACATAAAATCGCATACAATTCATTAAATTTTAAAACACAGTTCAACATTTTTTACCATTTCCAACTAAAGCCTATATTATCTAATAGAGGCAATTTAATAGAATACGTGGCATAAAGCCAAAAATTATAAAGAGGCCTTACATTTATTTAATAATAAAATTCTATATATTATCTTAAGTTTATTCTTATGGCTTTTTAAGATATAAAATAAAGTATTTTATTAATATTTTTGTAGTCAATTTATTTGTAAGTTGATAATAGTCAATTCATGTAATGTTCCTTGAGATATTCTTTATCTTAGGTAATATTTTGTTAAATTGATTTTGAAAAATTCATTTTTTCAATTGAGACAACTACTATAAAAACTATTAAAATTATTCTATAAGCAGTGTAAATATTTAGAAAAAGAATTAAGATTATACGTGATTAAGTATGCGAAATATAATTATTCTTAGCGCTTAAATTCCAATAATAAGTTATAACTATCAATGTCATGGTTACAAATGACCTTTAGAAAATATTCAAGGTTGAGACAATGCTTTAACAAATGATTGGTTAATAATCTAATAGTGTGAGCTTGAAAAATATCTACAAAGGCGCTCAAAAAACGGAAAAAAACCTTATAAAATCAAAATTGTTAACAAGATTTATTCAATTTGGAGTAAATCAGACAAAAAGATAGGAAGTAGGTGTAATTTTAATTGTCTACCATAATTACTTTAGTCAAATTTCAAAATAGCATAAATTTTGAAAATATATGCTTAATCATTGATGAAAATTGGCAACAAATGATTAAAAAGATTTCATTTATCACAAGTACATAATTTCATACAAATTATAGTTTTATTTATTTTGAATCTTTTTTTTTTTCCAACGGAGACAACTACTATAAAAAACTATTAAAATTATTCTATAAGCAATAGAAATATTTAGAAAAAGAATTTAAGACTTTACGTGATTAAGTATGTGAAATATAATTGTTTTTAGCGCATAATCCAATAATAAGCTATAACTATCAATCTCATGGTTACAAATGCCCTTTAGAAAATATTAACGGTTGAGACAATGCTTTAACAAATCATCGCTTAATAATCTTATTAACGTGATCTTGAAAAATATCTACAAAGGCACTCAAAGAATGAAGAAAATCTTATAAAATCAAATTTGTTAACAAGATTTATTCAATTTGGAGTGAATCATACAAAAAGATAGGAAATAGCTGTAATTTTAATTGCCTACCATAATTACTATAGTCATATTTCAAAATAGCATAAATTTTGAAAATATATGCTTAATGATTGGTCAAAATTGGCTACAAATGATTAAAAAGATTTCATTTATCACAAGTACATAATTTCATACATATTATAGTAATATGAATAATATTGAGGCCTAACTAATTTTGGGCCTATATCCATTGTTTTAGTGGCTTAGGGGTATCTTGGTAATCTTGGGTTAATTATCTTTAAATATAAAAATGAGATATCAAATACAAGTGATTTTTTTCCGGACAATTTAAAATTTTAAGGCGATACGATCAAGAAAACTTAAAAAAGAAAGAAGAAATGCATAAAAAGAAAAAATAAACTTTGATTGTATAAGAGAATTCAACCTTCAAGTTTAAACTTCTATAATATACACTTACAATCATTATTGCAACATTAAAAAGAAATCTAAATGTGATCATTTTACGTTTCGTTATAATAGTTTGAAGATCTAACTCAAACATGATTAAAAAGTAATACAATAGCTGTTATTATAAGTTTTATCATAACAAACTTAATTTCAAGTCAATATTTATTTAAAAAAATTATTACAATTATGAAATATTGAATGATAAAGCTAGCCTAAACATCGTCGTCATATAATTATTAATAAAAATAAAAAGAAAAAGAAAAAGAAAATTAAAATGTTTAGAGGTAGTAGGGAAGGAGCACGTGAATGGCACGTTTCATAATATGATGCCACGGTTTTAAATCAAACGGTGAAATTCTGTCTTCGTTCAGTTCGGAACAGAAGAAAAAGGCAAAACATAAACAATAAAGTTTTCAGTTGAGCCTCTGATATGGCAAACCTACCTCAGTCTTTCTCAATCGGCGTTGGCGGTTTCGGTAGCGGCGGAGCGGCAGCATCCTCTTCCTCTTCAGTCGGAGCTCCGGCGGATAAGGATCGCAAAATGCAATCCGCTGAACAGCTTGTGCTTGATCTCAGCAATCCTGATCTTCGAGAAAACGCTCTTCTAGAACTTTCCAAGGTTTATCTTTTTTCCTCTCTTAAAAGTTTTGCATTCATGTTTTCGTTTTACTGACATATCGCGTGATTATATCGACTCCGTGGCATGATTTTTGTGTAATTCAATTCTGGAACACCGTAAAATTCTATATAACTTAAGAGCTTAGGATTTTTTTTGACGTCCGAGGGTTAAAGTTTGAGAATTGTAGGAGAATGGAGATACTAGATTTTGATGACTAATGGATGCTTGTCGCTTCACTGAGTTGAATTGTAAAAAGGAAAAAAACAAGAGCAACTGGAATTTTTGGATTCACCGAAAATTGGGATGGAAGAGATTGTTGATGACTGCCAAATTTACCTATTAGATGCTTGTTGATAATAGTAGGAGAAAGCAAATGGTAGGTTTTGATGAGTACACACGGTGGCGGAGCGAGGAGTTTATATACGGAGAAAAAAAATACTAGTTGGGATTTGAATATGTAACCTAAAGCAACTTTTGAAACCCCTTTTACCACTACACTAGAATTTTATTTATAACTAAAATAAATTATTTTTACCCTATTTGCACGTTATAATTTTTCGACGAAGGGATTCAGTTGAACTCCTTTCTCTCTTACTAGCTCCACCCCTGATTATATATGCTTGTTGCCTCATAAAGTTGAATTTTAAAACGCTGGAATTGGTATTTAAGTTTTTTGGCTTCAGGAATCTGGGATGGGAAATGATGTCGCTGACTGCCAAATGTACCTATTAGATGCCTGTTAAGAATAGTAGCTGAAGGAGGAATATTGTAGGTTTTGGTAACTAATAGACGCTTGCAGCTTCAGAGAATTGAATTCTAAAATGAGCTTGGATTCGGGAAATTTGGGATAGGGACTGATGTCGCTGACTGTCAATTCTACCTATTAGATGCCTGTTAAGGATAGTAGCTGAAGGATGAATATTGTAGGTTTTAGTACCTAATAGATGCTTGTCGCTTCAGAGAATTGAATTCAATTATGAGGCATTGATCTTCTGGATTCCGGAAATTTGAGATAGTAACTGATGTCTACAACTGCCAAATGTACTTATTAGATGCTTGTTGAGAATATTAGTAGAACAAAAATAGTAGGTTTTGATAACTTTTAGATACTGGTCGAATTGTAAAAAGTGAGCAATTTGGATTCGGAAAATTTCGGATGCCAAATGACCCAGCGACTGCCAAATGTACCTTAAGGCATTTTGTTGTGTGCAAGCTGTTAGATTTTTTGTTAACTTAGATATGTTTCTTTCACAGCTCAAATAGCATCTACATGGCTGCTAGCTTCAGTAGCTCAATTTGACAGTTGTCAGGCTACCAAATTTGGGGTCATGAGTATTGTTGGATTTTCCAATTGATAGATTTCTTAATTTTTTTTGTTAGTAGGGGTTAGCAGATAATCTATCCCACTTTGTATATTCTTCTCTTCGATTCAGATGATAGTCATTGCACACTTTCTCTAAAAGTAGTTTCTGTTTTGGTAGTTTAAGATTCCAGATCAGGTGAGTGCTAATTAGGCTATTATAGTCATTTCACAGCTATCTAACGAGTTTAACTCGGTGAATGTTGATTCAAGTAGATGGAACTCACTCATTCATAAGGAATAACGACCGTTACAATTCTGAATGATGGATATGATGGAAGGGGGGTTTGTTGAACTTCAGAAAGACCTTGCGCAACTTTGGTAAAAGTCCTGGATTAGCTCTCTTTCTCCCGGCTAGGTCGAGCCTTACGACTTTCGCTTCTTCCTTTTTTTCTGGAAAGAACCAACAAGATCCCATACGTCCTTGCTTTGTTTTCCTGAAAAGAGGAGATTGCTGCCACAATTTTTACAGAGGAAGTGACCTTGTCCAACTTTTCAGAAAGCAGTCACCTCACTCAATCCCTTTACCTTTAGTAGAGAAGCATTCAATTGTTTCCATCCTGCAAAAGATAATGGTGCTCGGAAAAAGACTCCAATTATCTCCTTATGTTTTTCTTTAGTGTATCAATATTATTTTTAAGTATAGTAATATTAGAAGATAGATACCAAATTGAAGAACAACTAAGAACTGTAGGTAGAAGTTGCACCATCCAAAGAAAAAAGGAAGGAAATTCTAATCGTGTTAACATAGTCCAAAAACAGAATTACCTATTGCATGCTATATTTCCTGCACTGGTTTGAGCAATTCCTTTAGTTATATTTACAGTTAAGTAGCTGGTGCTATTAGTTAGCAATATAGACATCCATTTTATAATCACAATGGTTCAAAAATAATCTGCATCAGTATCTATCTGTCTAATAATGTAGAAGATTTAATTCTGGAGAAAAGGAAACCAATCAATACTGATAGCTTCAAAATTAGAAAGTTGAAAATTTGCTACCGCTGTATAGTAAATAAACTTGGAATTACCATCTTACTCCTACTATCACTCTTTTACTGGAATAGTTACTGCAGATGTGCTTACAAAGACAATATTCTTTCTACCTTTGCTAGCGACTGCAGATGTGCTTACAAAGGCAATGTTTTTTCTACATTTCCTGCTGGCTGTGTGAACTGTCAAATACTATGAGAAATTTTGCCGAATTGGTGGTTCTATGTGATGAATCCTGGCAAACAGCATTAGTTCCTGACTTTCAATCCAGTTTTCTACCTTAGGCTGCACAACTGATTTAGTGGATTAGTGGTTGTATTCTACTTTATCAAGCCACCGTAATGGGATTTTTGAACTCAGTATTCTCCTCAGGCTATTTAGTGGATTAGCGGTTATATTCTACTTTATCAATCTGCCCTAATGGGATTTTTTAACTCAGTCTTCTCCTCAGGCTGCATAACTCTTTTGATGGATGGGGAGAATTATAAATTCTTCTTTTGGAGCAATGGTTGAATAGTTGGTCTCTGCCTCAATACTCTACTTTGTTGCTCAATCCTCTTCAGAAATGTGCTCATATTTGTATATATGTGGGACACCATATAATTTGGCATTTCGGGTTGGGTACCAATTTGTTGTTCTACTGGTAGTATTGAGATTTGCCTAAAAAGATTTGTTATTTTTCTTTTCCTTTTCCAGAAGAGGGAACTGTTCCAGGATTTGGCCCCCTTGTTGTGGAACTCATTTGGTACTATCGCTGCACTGCTACAGGTATTCCGAGAATTGTTTCATCATATTTCTAGAGTTGATATCATTTCTCAGATGCACGTGCATGCTAAATGTACCATTCCGTACTGTAATTCCAGCTTTCTTCTCTGTTTGTGCATATTTCTTCAGTGATTACAAATGCTTCACACTGTGCACTATTAAAAGCGAGGACTGAAGGAAACTTCTGAATGGCTTTTTACAGCAAAGCTATCAATAAAACATCTTAGTGACCTTTGATTGGGGTTTAGTGAGGAATTCAAATTGTTAAAATTTAAAATATCTTGTAAAATCCTAGGCGCTTAGTTTTAAAAAAAAGTGCGTGTGTGTGTGGTGGGGGGGATGGTGGTCTTGTAGAGTCTTAGGATGTTTGTGAAATTTTCTGGCTGGGGAGGCAGTGGGAGCTAGTCCTCCATCGGCCCATGGGTTTCTTCCCCCATTATATTTGGACTCAGCTCATAGCAATTTCTGAAACTAGACAATGTATGACATTTTCTTTGTATATGTTGGGTTGGCTTATTATTGGTAGGAACAGATATAAATGAAAATGATTGTGGGCTAAAAAATTGGGAATGAATATACAGGGAGATTTAAAAGTAGAATCCTAACGTGCTTTTCCTNAAAAAAGAAGGAAAAACCGCAGCACTAGGAGGAGAGACTATTCTGTCTTGTGCTGGGATATCATTCAAATTTACTCTCCATTTAACTGTTTTTGTACCTATGTCCAACTTAGAGGGTAAACAGGAACTACTATGTGTAGGTGTTCATATGCTTTATCAGAGCCCACATTATTGGTTCAGTTAAATTAGCTCTTTTACCATGGCGAGAAACCAGATTTGTATTCTCTGTCCAACCATTTAATTATTCTTTGTTGAACTTCTGTTGTGGAATTTTTCAGTACAACTATTTGATTCTTATTTCTTAAACTTCTATTGTGGAAGTCTCTAGATTTTTCTATATGTTTTTTAAATGTTATTTTGCATGTTTGCAGGAGATAGTTTCCATCTACCCTGTTTTGTCACCACCAAACCTGACTCCTGCTCAATCCAATAGAGTTTGTAATGCACTAGCACTTCTTCAGGTATAGAAACTTCTTTTCCTTGTGGATTTTTTTTTCTTGATACTGTTTCTATTATTCATTCTTGTTGGTGATCTTTAAAGTAATGAGTTATTGTCATTATATGATTTCTTAATAATGATTAAATCTTCAGCAATACAACAACAACAACAAACTCAGTGTAATTCCACACGTGGGGTCTGGGGAGGGTAGTGTGTACGCAGACCTTACCTCTACCTCATGGAGGTAGAAAGATTGTTTCCGATAGACCCTCGGCTAAAGAAACACTAAACAAGAAGCGACCAACAGTAATAACACAAAAAAAAACAAAGACACTATGTGTAACAAAAATCTAAAAATAAGAAATAGAATAATACGACTAACAATACTGGTAAGAATGACACAATATGGTATAACAAAGGTCAAGGAACACAAAATGTAAGAATAATACTAATACTACCGGTACGATTAGGAGAAACTCTCAGCTACCTGTCAACCTACAATTCTAATTTTCGACCTCCACACCTTCCTATCGAGGATCATGTCCTCGGTAAGCTGAAGTAATGACATGTCCTGCCTAATCACCTCTCCCCAATACTTCTTTGGCCTACCTCTACCCTTACTCAGACCCGCCATGGTCAACCTCTCACACCTCCTAATTGGGGCATCGATGTCTCTCTTCATCACGTGCCCGAACCATCTCAACCTCGATTCCCGCAATTTGCCTTCTGTGAGAAATATGACATGGGAAAATTATATTATTAAATGTACCCTAACTATAATACAAGTCCTATTTATAACAATACACGATACCTACACTACTCCTATTCCATATGGGACTATGCTTATTTACATAACAACTAAGTACTAACTAACTAACATTCCCCCTCAAGCTGGTGCATACAAATCATATGTACCGAGCTTGTTACATATATAACTAATACGAGAATCGGTGAGGGACTTGGCGAAAATATTTGCAAGCTAATCATTCGAGTTCACAAACTTTGTAACAATATCTTCTGAGAGTATCTTTTCTCCGACGAAGTGACAGTCAATCTCAATGTGTTTAATTCTCTCATGGAACACCGGATTTGATGCAATATAAAAGGCAGCTTGATTATCGCACACAAGTTCCACCTGGCTGATTTCACCAAATTTCAATTCCTTGAGCAATTGTTTGATCCAAACTAGCTCACATGTTGCCATAGCCATTGCTCGATATTCTACTTCTGCACTAGACCGAGTAATTACATTTTGTTTCTTGCTCTTCCAAGACACCAAATTGCCTCCAACTAAAACATAATAATCAGACATAGAACGTATATTAGAAGGTGATCTTTCCCAATCAACATCTGAATATCCAACGATCTGCTCATGGCCTCGATCACCAAATAATAACCCTTTACCTGGAGCCGATTTTATATGCCGAAAAATGCGGACAACTACATCCCAATGACTATCACATGAAGAATCCATAAATTGACTTACAACACTCACAGGAAAGGAAATGCCAGGCCTGGTCACTGTGAGATAATTTAATTTACCAACTATCTGCCTATATTTTGCAAGATCGCTAAGCGGCTCCCCCTGTCCTGGTAGAAGTTTAGAATTCGGATCCATCGGAGTGTCAACAGGTCTACAGCCTGTCATTCCTTTTGTCTCCTCAAGAATATCTAAGGCATACTTCCGTTGTGAGATCACAATACATGAGCTAGACTGAGCGACCTCAATACCTAAAAAATACTTTAATCTGCCTAGATCCTTAGTCTGAAAGTGTTGAAAGAGATGTTGCTTCAATTTAGTAATACCATCCTAATCATTGCCGGTAATAACAATTTCATCAACATAGACCACTAGATAAATACAGAGACTTGAAGCAGAATGCTGATAAAACACAGAGTGATCAGCTTCACTTCGAGTTATGCCAAACTCTTGGATAACTGTGCTGAACTTACCAAACCAGGCTCGAGGAGACTGCTTTAGACCATAAAGTGACTGGCGCATGCGACATACAAGGCCACGAGACTCCCCCTGAGCAACAAAACCAGGTGGTTGCTCCATATAAATTTCATCCTCAAGGTCACGTGAAGAAAAGCACTCCTAATGTCCAACTCATAGAGAGGCCAATGGCGAACAACAACCATGGATAGAAAAAGGTGGACTAATGCTATTTTAGGCCCTTCTTATTTGACTTTGACTCTGCTGGAACTGGCTGGCGGATGGAAAGAGGCCCTTCCTTGCTTTCAAGGTTTCGGCATTCAAAGTCAAACGATTCTTTGTTTAAGTTTAATAATAAAGTAAAGAAAGCATTTGAACTCATTATAGTGCGCATCGGCTAGAGGCGGCAGACATTAGGCCGTTCACGGGGACCGAGTCCTTTTATTCAGACGCTCAGTTTGACGGGAGAGAAAATATCACTGTAATCAAGCCCAAATATTTAAGTATATCCTTTGGCAACAAGACGGGCCTTAAGTCGATCAACCTGGCTATCCGGATCAACTTTGACTGCATAAAGCCAACGACAACCATTAGCAGATTTACCTGAAGGAAGAGGAACAAGCTCCCAAGTACCATTCGTATGTAAAGCAGACATCTCGTCAATCATAGCCTGTCGCCAGCCTGGATGAGACAATGCTTCACCTGTACACTTAGAAATGGAAACAGAGGACAAAAAAAATATAAAAGCATAATGGGATGATGACAACCGATGATAACTTAAACCGACATAATGGGGATTAGGATTAAGAGTGGTCCACATACCTTTCCGAAGTGCAATCAGCGTACTAGGAAGAGACAAGTCCGCAGTAGGAGCAGGGTCAGGTGCAGGACATGAATAAGCTGGGCCTGATGCTAGGCACAAACGACGATGATAAGTCAAGAGTGGTGTTCTTGTGGCTGGGGATCTAGGAGGAGCAACACGAGACTCTTCAACAGTTGGTTTGGGTAAGACTTCTATGGCTGAAGGTGGATGAGGAGCTATAGTAGACTCCTCAAAGGTATGTATAGGTAAGATCTCAGATATCTCAATTCAGAAGAGGTAAAGAAAGGTTTAGACTCAAAAAATGTGATGTCAGCTGACATAAGGTACCTACGAAGACCAGGTGAATAACAACGATATCCGTTCTGAACACGAGAATAACCAAGGAAGACACACTTGAGAGCACGAGGAGCTAACTTATCTTCCCCGGGGGCTAAGTTATGAACGAAACATGTGCTCCCAAAAACACGACGGGGAAGAGAGTATAAGGGTGACTAAGGAAACAATCATGAATATGGAACCTAATTCTGGATGGGAGATGAAGGCAACCGATTAATCGAATAACAAGCTGTGAGAACTGCATCGCCCAAAAAATGCAACTGAACATGAGATTCAATGAGAAGTGTGTGAGCAGTCTCAATGACATGCCTATTCTTTCTCTCTGCAATCCCATTTTGCCGAGGGGTATAAGGATATGATGTCTAATGAATAATTCCTTGAGAAGTCATAAACTGCTGAAACTGAGAGGATAAATATTTTAAGGAATTATCACTACGAAAAGTCCGAATAGAAACACCAAATTGCTTTTTGATTTCAGCACAAAAATTCTGGAATATAGAAAACAACTCAAAACGATCTTTCATTAAGAAAAGCTAAGTACATCTTGAATACTCATCAATGAAAATAACAAATAACGAAATCCCAAGGTTGAACTGACTCTACTAGGACCCCATATATCAGAATGAACTAAAGAGAAAACAGACTCTGCATGACTCTCAACACTACGCGGAAAAGAGGCTCGAGTATGTTTCCCAAGCTGACACGACTTACAATCTAATGTAGACAAACTAGACAAACTAGGCACCATCTTCTGAAGCTTGGATAAGCTCGGATGTCCTAAATGTTTGTGAATTAGGCCTGGAGGATATGTGACTAGACATGCTTTGGAGGGACTGAGTGAGTTAAGGTAGTAAAGGCCTTCTGATTTACGCCCTTTGCCAATCGTTTGTCCCGTATTGCGGTCCTGCATAATAAAAGAATCATCAATAAAATATATATACCACAATGGAGGGCACGAGTCAAACGACTAACATATGCAAGACTAAAAGGGCGACCGGTGACATAAAGAACAAAATATAGAGTGATAGAAGATAGAGGATTGGCTTGTCCAATTCCTTTTGCTTTAGTTTGAAATGCATTGGCTAAAGTAACAGTGGGAAGAGATTGTGAATACACAATATTCGGCAAATGTGATTTATTACCAGAGATATGATCAGAAGCGCCTGAGTCCATGACCCATGGTCCAAGAGTAGTAGACTGGAATACAAGCAAAAGAATTACTAATGACAGAAGTATCAGTCTGAGCAATTGAGGCTACTTGTGGAGATGTCTGCTTTCTTGCTCGATATTGAAGAAACTTATTATATTCTTCTTCAGATAAAGAAAATCCCTGGTTACCCGTAGTCTCGGTCTGAGCAACATAAGCATTTTTGGGTGGTCGACTATGTAAGGAATAATACACTTCATGAGTGTGTCCAAGTTTATGACAATAAAAATACTTGGGTCTAGATCTTCCAAAACGACCTCCTCCTCGTCTATTCTCCATAGTTTGAGATGCCCGATTTTCCACTGTTTGAGATGCGAAAACAGAGTAATCAAGTGTCTGTGATGAGATCATTGGGTGACTTGGTGCTGCAGCAAGGCAAAGTAATTGAGAGAATAATTTATCAACTATAGGGACAGCCGGACTAGCCAAAATATGGCCACGTATTGAATCAAGGTCATTAGGGAGTCCAGTGAGTGTAAGAACTAGAAACATCTTCTGTCGTTGCTCTTGTTGCTTTTCAATACTAGCAGAAACTGGCATCAACTTCTCAAATTCTTCCATGACTGCCTGTCAAGTAAGTAAACATATTCAATTCCTGTTTCTTCAAGCTTGTCATTTGCGATATTACATCATAGAAACATGATGTCATTAGTGTATAAAGTACGAGCCTTTTCCCAAACTAAATAACATGGATGGAATGGACGGAACAAGGGCATCAACTTGGAATCAATAGATCGCCACACGATACTACATAACTGAGCATTGACCTTCTCCCAAAGTGCTTTGGCCTTTTCATCACCGTCGCTAGCCCTTTTTGTTAAATGATCTTGAACACCTTGACCTTTACACCACAACTCGACAGACGAAGCCCAAGCTAAGTAGTTTGAACTTCCCATTAAAGGTTCTGAGATAATCATAATACCGGAACTTCCATTTTTAGACCCAAATACACCAACTCCCAAAGACATTGTTGGATTGAAAAGAGGTCTAGCAAATTAGCACCAAATAAAACAAAGAATCAACTGTAGTTGCCGGAAAATTGCCGGAAAAAATATTGTAACTGCCAGAAAACTACTGTAGTTGCCGGAAATTTTTCAAAGTTATCGGAATCAAAAAAGAAAATTACGGGTAGGCTCGGAATTATAAAGAAGGGTTTTGAAAAAATGGCCGGAAAGGAATCAATGCGCCGGCACGTGGAGCAGATCTCGTTGGAAAAAATTGTCTCCGGCCGGCGCATGGCGGCGCGTGAGTCGTCGGCTGCCGGAGGTGTTTACTGGTGTTTGGTCGCCGGGGGTTGGGGGACCTTGTAGTGGTGTTGGTTTTTGCACAACACTGATGGAAATTGGTTTTGACGGAAAAAAAACCCTAAAAGGTCGCCAGAATTGAAGCACGACAACGGTTTCGGCTGGGTTTTCCCGGATGTTTTATCACTGCCGCTCTGATACCATGTGAAAAATATGACACGGAAAAATTATATTGTTAAATGTACCCTAACTATAATACAAGTACCCCTATTTATAACAATACACAATACCTACACTACTCCTATTCCATGTAGGACTATGCTTATTTACATAACTAACTATCACCTTCCACAGGGGTCATTCTCACCTTGTCCCTAATAACTTCATTCCTAATTTATCTTTCCTGGTATGCCCACACATCCATCTCAACATCCTCATTTCGGCTACTCTCATCTTCTGGACAAGGGATTTCCTATGTTGCTCGGACTCTTTGAAAATATCAATAGGTACGTGTCGGATCCTCCAAAAGTAGTGCAATTTTGGAGGATCCAACACAAGTGCGGCGGCATTTTGGAGAGTCCGCGCAACATTGGGGATTTCTTGACTGGTCAACACTCAGCACCATACAACATAGTCGGTCTAACTACCGTTCTGTAGAACTTGCCTTTAAGTCTTGGTGGCACATTCTTATCACACAAAACACCAGATGCGAGCCTCCATTTCATCCACCTCGCTCCAATACGATGTGTAACATCTTAGTCAATATCGCCGTTACCTTGGATAATAGACCCAAGGTACTTGAAACTACCTCTCTTGAGAATGACTTGTGTATCAAACTTCACATCCACTTCTGCCCCATGCGTCCCCTATTGAACTTGCACTGCAAGTATTCTGTTTTCATCTTACTCAACTTGAAATCTTTTAGTCTCCAGGGTATGTCTCCAAAACTCCAACCTAGTGTTAACCCCACAGCGCGTCTGATCAATCAACACTATATCATCTGCAAATAACATACATCATGACACCTCCCCTTGGATTTGTCGCGTCAACACATCCATCGCCAGAGCAAATAAAAATGGACTAAGAGCCGATCCCTGATGTAACCCCATCAACACTAGGAAGTATTCCGAGTCTCCTCCCACTGTCCTCACCCGAGTTTTAGCACCATCGTACATATCTCTAATCACCCTAGTGTATGCTACTGAGATGCCACTAACCTCCAAATATCTCCATAGGACCTATCTCGGGACTTTGTCGTAGGCTTTCTCTAGGTCAATGAACACCATATGCAAGTCTTTCTTCCTCTCCCTATACTGCTCCACCAGTCGACTCTGAATGGCTTCTGTGGTTGACCTTCCCGGCATGAATCCAAACTGGTTCTCAGAAATAGACACACTTCTCCTTGCCCTCCTCTCCATCACCTATTCCCAAACTTTCATAGTGTGACTCAACATCTTATACCCCTATAGTTGTTGCAATTCCGGACATCCCCTTTATTCTTATACACCGGGACCATCAAGCTCCATCTCCATTCATCGGGCATCTTCTGCGTCCTAAAAATGACATTAAACATCCAGTAAGCCACTCCAAGCCTGCACGGCCTGCATCCTTCCAAAATTCTACCGGAATCTTGTCCGGCCCAGTCGTTTTACTCCTACTCGTCTTCTGCATCACCCACTCAACCTCCTACACCTTAAAGCCCCTACAAAAACCATAATCTCGTTGGCTTTCTGAGTTCTCCAACTCACTAAGTACGATGAACCTGTCACCATCCTCGAAATATGTCTGCCACCTAAGCCTAATAGACGCCTCATCCACCGATATTTTACCATCCTCGTCTTTAATGTACCTCAATTGATCCAGGTCCCGCGCCTTCCTCTCTCTAACCTTAGCTAACCTGTACATTCTCTTGTCACCACCTTTACTCCCCAGCTCCTCATACAGGCGCACAAACGCTACATTCTTAGTCGTCATGATGGCTAATTTTGCCTCTTTCTTAGCCTTCTTATAGCACTCCCTATTGGTCCTCCTCTCCTCCTCGACTGTGTTCTCCACTAGCTTCAGATATGCTACTTTCTTGATTTTTCTTGGACTTCTTTATTCCACCACTGGTCCCCTTTGTGGCATCCCGCATTTCCATTCGTGACCCCTAACACCTCTCGTAGTAGCTTCCCTGATACAATTCGCTATCATGGACCATATATTACTTGCGTTCCCACTACTCCTCCAGGCCCCCATAGCTACCAACTTCTCCCCCATCTCATGAGCTTTGTCTTTAGTCAAGGCTCCCCACTTGATCTTGGGTTGACCATATGTCGCTCTTTTCTTCCTCTTTCTCTTAATCTCCAGGTCTATGACTAAGAGCCTATGTTGTGTCGAAATACGCTCACTCGGGATAAACTTGCAATCAGTGCACAAGCCTCTATCGTCCTTCCTGTAGAGAAGGTAATCAATCGGAGTCTTGGCCACCGTACTCAAAAAACTGATCAAGTGGTCTCCCTCTTCTGAAAACACGTGTTAGCTATCACCAAATCAAAAGCTTTAGCAACATCCAACAACGAAATTCCTGCCTCGTTTCTACCTCCAAAGCCGAACCCGCCCTGCACATCGTCATAGCCCTTAGTAGTCTCCCCAATATGGCTATTAAAATCACCTCCTATGAAAAGCTTTTCGGTAAGGGCGACACCTCGAACCACCTCGTCTAAAGTTTCCCAGGAGTGACTCTTGACCTCCTCGTCCAAGTCCGCTTGGGGCGCGTATGCAGTAATCACGTTTAAAGTGAACCCACCAACCACTAGCTTAATAGTCATCAGCCTATCGTTTACTCTCCTAACATCTACCACTAGCTCCCAAAGATCCCTGTTAACTAAAATACCTACTCTATTCTTGCCCCTAGAAACTCCTGAGTATCACAATTTAAACTCAAACTCGTTAACTTCCCGTGCTCTAGTACCTACCCATTTAGTCTCTTAGACACACGCTATATTAATCTTCCTTTTCTGGAAAATCTTCCCTAACTCTAAAGACCTAATGTCCCTATATTCCAGGACTCAATCCTCAGCCTAGCGGTTCCCTTACCACCCTTGCCCCCGCCCCCTGCCCCATCCAAGGACATGACCTCACTCTACCATACCTCGCCCCAGCCACAATAATCTAAGGGATACTAAGCTAGTACTACTACAGCACGCAACAAGGTAACTATTGCACCTTAAGGCACCGGTAGAAAGAAACTACAGAAAAGAGTAAACGCAAAGACAAAGAACGATACAGAATAGATCAAACTATATAAAGAGAAAGAGTGATACAAATTAAAATCAAAATATATAATGACAAAAGGATACAGAATAACTCAAAATATATAAAGACAAAGAAAGATAGAACCTGGAACGTATTTGAGGATTTCTAGCCGCTGCCTCCGCCCACACTGAACTTTGTTTCAGTGGGGCCTGCTACTGAAGCCTGCTGTAACACCTCCTGGAGTCGAGGTGTTGCTGTAGAACCAGATCCTAGCGTCGCACACACCTTCACTATCCCTGCCGGAGCTGTCCTTTACCGCCGGTGAACCTACAGAAGAGAACGAAAAAGAGGGAAAA